ATAGACTAAAAGCAGAATTTAAAAATCTATTTTCTGAGCTACATTTCCTGGTTTTAGTGAGGATGCGACCAGCAGTGATCAGCTGGAGATAAATGTGCACCAATCAGATGGTTTAATAATATAAATAACAGATTAAAAACTATAAATAGGTTGGTTACTGAGCTCTTATGTCTATTTATTCAAGAATTTAGTTTTTGAGTTGACAACGTTTATTTTGCCACCTTATAGTTTGAGGTTAAAATGTGATTAATGGTGTTTAAATAATTACACATCCTGTACTTGATTCAAATTTTGTATCAAGTCCCACCACTAGAAAAAACTTGCACCATTAGTGTAAAAAAAAAAGAAACACACTCACAAATCCAGAACATTTTTAATAATTAAAATCATTGATCACTTGTGGCTAGAGAGTCAAATGGATGCAGAACCCGAGTTTATTTGGTGTAATCTGATTTATTTTAATCTGCATTTAGAGCTTGCAGACCACTGACTGCAACGTTGCTAACAGAAATGCAAATAATTACGACTTCCAGCCATCAGCACCTCAGTAATAAGTGTCAGTCATGTTTCTGCCTCTGGAGAACGAAACCTCCATGAATAAATGAAGCCGTCTGGAAGCTGCTGCAGGCTGAGCAGCAGGTCTCCTCTCCTGGGAAGGCAAAGCACCTCCACATGAAAACATCTGATTTTACTCCTGACTATTTGTCTTTTGTTTGTTAAATGAACTGCTCCATATTATTTAAGAAAACCCTCATGTGTCACAGTCCCAGGCTCGTGGTTTTGTTAACTGACACAACGTTAACAGACGAAGACAACAACGACTTACTCTTTAATTTAGAGCGAATTTTGTTGGCCAGTTTCTTGATGTCTGCCATGAGGTCCTCGAGCTCGGCTTTGGTCTCTGAGGCAAACGGAAACACAGAAGAAGAAGAAGTAGAAAGAGGAGATGTGAGAAGAGACGTCTTTGTACCGCCACCAGTTTCATGGACAATGAAGATGGTCTCTTCCAGACAACTGATCAGCTTCGGCTTCAGCCCACAGCAGCACAGGTTTTCTAGCCTAACCTTGCTTTAAGCTGGTTCATAGCGATTTTTTTGTCCTATCATGTGCTTGCTCACTAATGCTCTCTAACAAACCTCTGGGATCTTCACAGAGCAGCTGCTTCTGTGCTGAGATGCAATGACACACAGGTGGACTTCATCAACTTACTGGCTTACTGCTGAATGAAATGGTTAATGAAACCAGATTTTACCTATGAGTGTTAAATAAATAGAATGCATGTAACGCATTTCAGATTTGAATAGGAATTTCTTCATGTTGGTCTATCACATAAAATGCATCAGGTGTGTGACTGTAATGTAATGAAACTGTTGAAAAGTTCAAATATTGGGAATACTTTTGCACAGTCGTGTAAAAACTAGTAACCCTGAAGCATTAATTACAGTTTCACACACGGGAAAAACCTAATTTATCATTTAAATGTCACACACTAACCAAGTCCCCATTAACAAGCAGCTGTGAGACAGCGCACACACACACACACACACACACACACACACACACACACACACACACACACGCACGCACGCACGCACGCACGCACACACTCGCAGACAAACCGAGGCCTTATAAGTTAGCACAGTCGACCTATTCAGTCAAAGTGAAGTGCCTGCAGTTCTTCTTCCTAATGAGTTTATTTCTGCATATTTCCTGCTTCTTTAAGGCTGCATAAATCACAAAGATAAATTAGGTTCAGCGGTAGACCTGTTGAACCAAAACTCACTGCAGACATCTGAACCCAATTACCGATAGCTTCAGTGGATGATTTGATTACACAGAAGGAGACTTCAGTCACTGGCACACGTTCAATTATTAAAACACAATATTTGCACCTATTTTCCAATAAGGAATAAGCTTAAATTGTGAGATGATCACATCATATTCTTCTCTACACGTCCACTAAAAATCTGCTTTATGCGAATGCCTTAATGTCAGAAAAGGTTTGATAATTAAACCATCTAAAAACAAAAGAACCACAATCCACACACCCATGTTGTGTTCAGGATTAGAGCTTAAATTAAACCAGCAGATCTCTGAGAAACTGATTCGTCGTCTAATTAGGTAAAAGGCAAATGGAGGATCAAGGGAATTCAAAACACATGAGAGAAATTGCTCCAGAAAAGTAAATTTATGCAAATAGAAACAGAAAATGTGAATATTTTAACAAGTAACAAGTACTAAATACTTTTGCATATCTCTTATTTGTAAGTGCTACAAAAACAACGTTCATCAAAAAAGTCGAGGCGCAAACAATCCATCAGTATCGGCTTTAGACAGCGTTTAGTAGTAGAAGCTAAAAGGTGGGGGTTCATAAAGAAATGGTCCCTGGTTCAGCCTCTCATTATTCCACTTGTTCATGCAAATAAACTAACAGCTTTTAGATTGCAACAGTCAGCACTATGCTTTAAACAACTTATGATCCACGTTTTTCAGTACAATAAAGCTTTAAAGCTAATTTCTGTCGATGTTTAGCTGCCAGAAAAAAAAACTTGTCTTTTTGTCTGTGGAGGGTTTTCACAAAAAAGAATCTTAAACTCCGTTTCAGACAATGTTCAGTGCAAAATAAGTCAGGTTACGTCTTCTTAACTAAACTGAATTAACCTACTAGTATTCAACAACAACATGGCAATTAGCTATTTGTATCTTTTGTTGATCATTTCTTCCTACTGAAGATGAGAGGGAACTATCTCCAAAGGACAAAGACAGAAAAAAAACTACACAAAACATACACAATATTTCTTTCTTTTTTGGCCATTTTGTTTCTTAACCAGGAAGTTGCTACATGTGCGGTAAAGAGTTTGTCAGGGTCAGAAACAGACGTGAGGTTATGACAAAGGTCAAGAGGTTTAGAATGAGGATATGTAACATGAAAACTTTGGACACCTGATGACTGCCTGTGGGTTTTTGTAACCTATTGGAGATATGAATATTTATGATAAACTTTATTTGAATTCACCAACTTCATGCATACAAAACAAAAGAATTACAGACAGAAGTATTGATCTACTGTCATGGTGTGTGGATGAGGTGGTGAGGAGAGACGCAGAGACCCAGGTTATGATGAAGATGATGATGAATTTAATGTTAAATGTCAACGGGACAGAACAACGGGGAGCACAACGAACACAGGACGCACGACGAGGATCCGACAAGAGACAAAGAGACAACAGGTGGGACTAAATACAATGGGAGGGTAATCAAAGAAACGAGACACAGCTGGGGAAAAAACGAGCATTTAAGGTCTTCTGTAAATACAGTTTCTTCATCAGTTAAGATTCCTGCACGTTTATTCCTAATCTAAAAATTCACACAGATCGCATCAGATGCACAGAGTTGCAACAACGTTGCTCAGAAGCATTTCAATGAGACTTTTGGGTCACAGAAACGTAATGTCAGCGAATGCCAGGAAAGAGTCACCGGCTTCTGCAGCCGTTCCCTAAAACATCCAGCGGTTTATTAAGTTGCAGCCTGCGCTCTTTGGGGGGGTTGTGAGAAAACAAACACGGGGTCTTCAGAGAGCATTTCAAGACACAACCAACTTTGAAAGTAACGCACTTGCAAGCATTCGCCGTCTTTGTCAGAAAAGACAAAAAAAGATCATGGTAAAAGCTGAAGTAAAGGGTGTAAAACGAACATCAGAGTGCGAGAACAAGAGGACCGGAGCCTCAGAGAGGCGTAAGATTTAGAAAAAGCGCTCTCTGTTACTTCTTCATACCTGTGCTGCTCCACCAGGGCGGCTACAGGGCAGCACAGAGATAATAACATCAAAATTGAGGTTGGTCTTAGGTTGTTACAAGCAGGGTAAGTGTGCATCTGAGTGTGCGGCGTGTCTTTTAAGTGGTTAGATTTGATTTGCTTCTCGTGGCAACCGAACAGAGGAAGCCAACCTGTCAGATCAAGTATCCATTCAGCCTCGTTATTCGCCGTGTGAAAAGAGGAAGAGTGCCGCCAGAGACGAACGAGCAGAAGGAGAAGCGAGACAGAGACAAATTAGAGGCCAGAACTGAGGACTCAATTGAGCCGCGGCTTCGCACTCCGTCCCTCTCCCAGACGTTTTCAGACGAAATCTTCAGGTCACGCTTGTTGCCATCATTAAGACGGTGTTGCTATGGAGACGTGCGCCGTTGGTCCTCTCGGCAGCTTCAGATGGTTTCGAAAGTGACAGAAGGAAGGAGAGCCGGAGAGAGACGCTACGAGGCACTGAGATATGTGGGAGCTGGAAGAGGGGCACAGGAAACAAATTCAGACTGGTTTTACATTTTTGTTTTTTATTGTCGAGGTCTGGAGGAGATAAACGGAGGAGAAAATGGGTTCCACATGGTTGCGTCTGCCATTTTTCTTGTTACTCTCCTTTTGTGGCATAAAGACGACAGAAACTCACTGAATAAATGTAGTCGTATTTTATCAGCCTAGCAAAGGGTTTTGTCGTCCTGGAGACCCTGGACAAATAAAGGGAATCTGTATGGATTTCAAGTTGCACTGACCCATACATAAAGCTACATTACAGATTAAGGTCGACCTGTGGCCTCCACGATTTCCACAACAATGTATCTGGATCCTGGTAAATTTGGAAAACCTTTCTGTGTGAAGACTAAGCTATGACGTTACTGCTGTGGAAATCTGCACAACTTTCTGCATCTCCACCGCCAGTTTCAGCTTTGCTGTGTAGGAAAAGGAACCGTCCGCACTCAGAGACACATCTCTGCCTGGGCTGTCAGAAAGAACTGTGCACAAAAAAACCCCAGACGTCTTTGTCCTACTGCAGGTGTTGTACAGCACAATCATGCTTCAATCCAATCGGGTCGTTGCTCAGGCATTGTTTTTTCTACTCGTTGCTAAATCTGATTTTAAGACTTGAGGATTTCTCAGTGCAATAAGTCTTTATTGCATTAAAAGCACAACTCAGAAAATGCATTACTGTCTTTTTGTCTTCCAGACATCAATCTATGTGCAATTTGGAGCTGTGCCTGCTAACCTCGGAGCCCAGCTCACAATGATCTGAGCACAGCATGTCGACTTGCTTCTTTTGATGCAAAGAGAAATGGCCCATTGTTCATTTCAGCTGATTGGAGAAACCGTTTAAGCCAAAGCAGCAGCAGGAAATGAGCTACATCGCACCAGCCGAGCTAATTTTTTTAATTAATTTTTCATATATATTTTTTACAGCAGATTAGCTGGAGAACTGCCTGACATAGGCATGATGAGGTCATAATCCCTCCTAGACCGCTATTTTCATTTCTGTGCTGAGTGATCCATGTAGGTGAACACAGGCCACAAATACATATCAAATCGGAGCTTTTGAATCAACACCTTTACGTTTCTTTCATCAGGAAAGTGAAAATGTTTAGGCTGTTCTGGCTGTGTTGTATTCATTCTGTGCCGGTGCTCTTAGGTTGGAGCGTTACGAAGCAAACATGCACCGAACATGTCAGACTTTCTTTTAAGCATTTTGTTTCAGAACATTTCCCGGATGTGACTTGGCTCGGTGTTATTGCACAATGTTGGACCAATTCTTTCATTAGAACCAAGGACATGGGAAAACAGTATCAAAATCTGCTACTCAAAGATTTGATCTCAGATTAATTTGTGGTCAAACTGGAGAAACATAAACTACGAGCTAAAGTTTGAGTATTCTTCATATTTAGCCGTCAGCAGGTCCCACATTTAGACAGATAGTGTGACTGTCCAACACCAAACAAGCTGCTCCGCTCTAAATCCGCTTTCCGACTTTTATCCGTTTATCTTTTTTCCTCCCTCTGCTCTCTCTGTAAATGTATTACCAGCCCATTGTGTGTTTGCTCTGCTTATTGATTGTCTAGAGTCCAGAAGTCAGAGAGACAG